ACTAAAATAGCGCATTAGGAATTTCTCAAGTTTCAAACATAAAAAAAAAAAAAATTGAATGTGTTTGAAAGAAATACGCACAAGTCATGAAAATTTTTGTAAAAACAAAAAGGGAATGTCTAATTTTGATAAATTGACGAATTAAACGAGTATAAAAACAGTCTTCAATTATAGAATTTTTCGGATGGGATTAAATAATATTTTAGTTCCTGCCTACATGATACTTTTTACTAACATTGATTTATTTTTATATATCTTTAAATGACATATTTTTATGATACTAAGGGGCAAAAAATTTTAATTATAATTACTTATTGATCATAAAACTGAGTTTATGTAATCTAAACGCTAAACTATGCATTAAATACCATTAAAAAGTAAAATTTCGCAAAAATTCAGAATTTAAGATTGAATATTGCACTCCCCTTTCAATCGAATAACCCACTTAATAGCATGGATTTGACTGGAACCGATGGTATTCCTTTAAGCGGAGTTGACTGTATATATATAACTCCTATGTATATAATCTCCTTCATATATCCATTGAAAAGAAAATTTTATTTTAATACTCAATTATTTTCATTTATGATAATTACCTAACTAAAGAGTTCTCAGTATACATTTTTTACTTTTTAGAATTTAAAAAAATTAATGAAAACTATTCAACCTAAAGACTTGTTATTGCTTTAATTTGATGTAGTTTAGGAACATTCACTAATTTTTCACAAATTTTTGGTAACCTTTTTTAATTAAAAAGATCAATACTAATAATTAAAAAAATCATGCAAGCAAATATTATTTAATGACTGTTTTTTAAGTAAATATGTTTACAAGTAAGCAAATTATTTGGAAATATATTCATGTAAGAATATTCAAATAAATTAGACCTATAATGAACTACCATTATTCCATTTAATTTTGATTATGGATTAAGAAAAATTTTTTTTTTTTGGTTAATGGCACTTGGGTCTATTTCCCATTGGCCTCAGAAATGCCAGAATTGCTATTCAAGTCACGGCGGTGGAGTAGCGCTGCCCACGTCATACAACTACAAACCCGTTGATAGGGCCGATTACAGTCACACAGAAGGAAGGACATCCATGCCCTGAGCGGGATTCGAACCCGCAACCATCGGCTCCGCAGTCAGGCACGCTAACCACCCGGCCACCTCGTCGGCTGGAGTGAGAACTATCTCTAAAGAAACAAGGGAGTTACACAAAAGTTTGTAAATCTTTATTACATAACTAAGCAGGTTTGATTATGAGAAGAAAAGAAACAATTATAATCCATATATTTTTTTTTAAAATAAGAAATGACTAACATCCTTCACTCACTCAAGTAGCTTTTGCACCAAACACAGCCCACAAATTACATCATCTATTTTATATCACAAGCTTTGAAGCGCATCTGCAATCAAATATATATAAATATTCTATATACATATTTAATGGAAAAAGAGCAGTTTATTGACATTAAAAAAGAACTAAAAATTTTATGTTGAGGATTTTAACAGAAATATTATAAATACAAGTATTCAACTCTCTAATTTTGAAACTAGAATGCCTGTTACTTTGTTGGAATGAAAAAAAGGAAAACAATTGCATTTGACATCATAACCCTCTGTACATTAACTTGGGCTTTTTTTATTTATTTATTTAATTGTTTTTTTTTTTTGAAGGAAAAAAATAAAAAGTAACAAACATTTAAATAATTCATGCACATCATATTTTCTTTTTATTTACTGACTTGGTCACTTTTATTAGTATGAGCAGGAAATCTTGATATTACTATTCGTATGTAAGATTGGGTACAATGCTTACCCTTATCCATTTCCAATAAATCCCTGCACTTGGTCGGAACACAGCTCGCCTACTATAGCCATTGTTTATTAAGAGTCCTCTCAACTGTCAAAAGGGTCGCAATGGAGTGGGAAAATTCTAACTATGCTCTTAATTCTGTTTATTTAGTTTTCACAAATAAACTGATGATGGATTCGGCAGTATCTTTCAATTCATGTATGATACAAGGCTGTCAAACAATCAGAATTTGATATATAAAGCATGCGATATTGGGAATTCTCTATTAATTTTTTCTGACAGAATTATACCAATACAATTCTGCAGTTATAAGTTTTTGAAAGCATTTAAATAGTATATAGTTGTCTGTTTTCAGGTATTTAATAAGTATCTTTGTTTTTGTGCAATTAACGCTAAAAGAATTTTTTAGCATCATCCAAATCGGTTTTCATCAGATTAAATTGTATTAAAATTTAAAAAGCCTAAAAACTGACTATTGTGTTATTTTAAATTTCTAACACAAAATCAAAAATCGCATAATTGTTTTATGTTTTAAAAATTTTGAGAAAAACTTCATAAACGTTCTAAAACTTATCAAGTGCCATTTCTCCTAATCTAATTGATTCTTTTATTTCTCACCTTTTTTTTTCAAAACGTATTGTTCTGTTGGATAATACTATATCATAAAAAGTCAAGTGTTATGTGTTCTCGTATATAATGTGTGGATGGAAATATAGAAATGCAATTATATATATACATTTCTGCACGTGTATTATAAACTCATTAGATACTCTTCTGCAAAGATATGAGTGTTTTTCAATGCATTACTTTTTTTAGCTCTTACAATCCAAAAAGATATAAAAGTAAGAAACAAAAGGTGACTACCTCTGTCTCTTTGACATAAAAGTAAAGCACAAAAAAAAAATAAAAATAAAAAAAATCAAAGAACAAAAATCTAAAATGGCAAGGGTAGAAAGCACTTAATTGAAAGTAGCTTTGATTGCCTTTTTCTAGATGATTTTAAACTTTATTATATGTTTTATAAATTTTCTATGTTAAATAAATGACTAAATGTAAAACTATTGTATGACAAAAATTAAAACAAATTAAGTTATATTTATATTATAAAATGTTTATAAAGAATTTTTATTTTAGCTAAAAGTTGCTTAGAATAAATATGCATTGTAAACTTAAAAAAATATGTAAAGATAAAAATTAAATATTTTTATTATTTGATTTCTTTTTAAATATGGGACTTTTTTACTTGAAGATTATTTTTTAATTCCCCTTTAATTTATTCTAAAATTATTTTGCGCCTGTAAAATATTGCATAAAATTATTTCTAGGTTTTTAAAACAAACTAACTAATTTATCTTTTTATGTCTGCCTGGAAGAAAGGCTTCCAATCTTTTGGAATGTACATTTCAGAGAGAATGTGTTCTTTAATTTTTGCAAAAAAAAGTTGTGTAAGCTCACAAATCTAAATTTCATTTTGTTTTATAAGTCAGTGCCTATTTTCTTGCTAGTATATGAATTTTGTCTTCTGCTCTTTATTCATTAAATAAAACTCAAAATTGTAAAGAACAAGAAGGAACTAAACAGAAAGGAAATTAACAAAAAATAACAATTTCTATAAAGTACAACTGCAAGGAAATATTTTAGGCAGTGATAAGTTAGCCTTTCAGTTGCAATTCTGTTACACAAATTTATACACTTTAATGTAAAATAAACAATGTTAAAATTAACAAAAAATAATTACGACTGAAATGCTATATACAAAATAAAACGTATGCATAGTTATTTTACAATTCATTATACACATCTGTCATTTCACAAGCTCACAATTCGGTTTTTCAAAATCTTGAAGACATAAGCATTCACAACAACTTTAAATACAGTAAAATGAAGGAAATTACAATTTATTTTTTTATTTACAATTGAAATTGCTGAATCAAAACATAGCGTCAGCTATTGATTATTTTTTTTCAATATCTCTAAAATACTAAAACATTTTCACAATATAAATTTATAATATACATAAAATGCAGTGATAGTCCATAAATAGTTGAGAATCCTTTAAAGGATCATGTCTAACTTTACATTTCTAATAATTATGAATTGCTTACGTCACTATACAAATATGTTAATTATTTCCAAAGCCTGTTTTTTTGTTTTGTTTTAATGCCATGCTTAAAACAAAACTGCGGGAAACATTGAAATACGTTAAAGTTCCGCAATTTCAAACATATTTGTTTAGTGTCATAAAGCAATTACTTAAATATGTATTACTAACATACTATTTTAAGAAAGCTTTGATACGCTTTGTGGAAAACTTCTTTCATTATTGGCGTCTCCCGTTCAAACATCAGTTGAAACGTTTGCAATTTTAGTATAAAAAAGTATCTATGTACAAAATGTGAACATTTATTTTGCCATTGGAGAAAGCAAGTTGCCTTTTAAATTAGGAAGTAAAGCAGTATTTTTTTAAAATAAATTTTATAATTTACATGAAAAGTAGTTATTTTATATCTGAAGATATTTTAATAGTGAGAACACCTTGAAATTATGCTACGAATCTATTATTTTTCGAAGTTATTTTTTAAAAACATAGCTTTCAATGAAATTTGAAATGAAGTTTATAAAGATTTTTACTGTTATGTATTTTAATTTGATTACTTTATAATATAAATAGTGATTTTTTTATATATATATAATAGACATTTTTTTAATTAGAATAAAGTTTATAACATATTTTAAACATCTGAAAAAGTAATTGTAACAAATCATCATTCTTTGGAATTAATTACAACATAAAAGCCTTTTTTTAAAATCAAATTTGTATTGGAGTTTATAAATTATCAGTTATGTGTTTTAAGTTGATTATTTTGTAATATAAATAGTAATTTAATAGACATTTTTTTAACGAGAATAAAAATTTTGTTATGTTATAAACATTGGGAAAAGTGTATGAAAAAAGTAATTGTTACAAATCTCTTATTCTTTGAAGTTATTTTCAACATAAAAGCTTTTCTTTAAAATTAATTTGTTTTGTATAATGTATCAGTCATGTGTTTAAAATTGATTACCCCACAACTAAATGAAAACTTTAAGTCACAAATGAAATTAAAAAGTTGTATAAACGATTGTCACCTGATTTATTAAATCTAGTAATTAATCGTAACGCAGAATTTATATTAGAAAAAATATGAAACTAACGCCCAGTGAAAATTTTTATGATGTATACAAAACATACAAAAAAGGAAATATTTTCAGAATATAACAGCGGCATTCTTACAAATTCTCCAATGAACAATATACATGATTTGCATTATAATACTGTCAGCAATATAGCAGTCTTGTATCTTTAAGGTGCAATTTACAACAATTATTTCAGAATTGCAAAATTTAATACGTTGGCAACAGCAAATAGCTAGAAAGAATGTTATTTTGTTACAAAGTATATGTCATTAGCTTGTACAACATATTAAGAAAATTTGAAACGAGATGATCACACATAACACGAGAAACAAATATTGATTTGTTTTCATAAATTTAAGATGAAAATGTTTTTCTTACTTATTTAATAGTAAGGAGTTATTTAAAAATAAGAAAAAGAAGAACCAGTTTTTATTTTAACAAACATTTTAAATTAGAAATACAATCCTATTCAAAAAAACGATTAGGTACTTTGGAAAGAAATTTCATACATGTCTTATGCACTATATTATTGAACCACAAAGTGCATTCAGTAAAGACGATTTATGTAAATGAATATTTTGGTATTAGATTGTTGTTTCAATTTACTTATTTTTAAACATCGATTACTTAATTATGAAGAAGTATAAGAAAAAACAAGTAAAAAAAGTCAGTTAAAAAATAAAAAATTTATTTACTTTTGAATTTGTATTCTAAAATGCAATATTAATATTAAACACTATTTTAAACATTTGGCTCAGAACAATTAATAACATTTAACTATATAGCTAAACGAATGCTTAAATTTCGATCTTTATTTTTATTTTCGATTCGATATTATTACTGAAGCAACACTGTTATTCAAAATATTTTTCTCAGTTCAAGCTGGAATCTACATTGCATTTTTTCCTCCTTCGCTTTGACTATGAAAATTCTTTCCAAACAACCCAATCGATCATAAACATATTTGCAACAGTTAAAAGACAGTTCCAAACAGGTACACATTACGTATAAATTAAGTATGATTCCAATGAGAAGTAACCAATTGCGAACAAATTTGTGACTAGCATTCAACAATTAGTAACTTTCCTCATTTCTCAAAATATTATTTTTTTTAAGTCTAAAAAACAAACAAATGTTTCACTAGAACGCATTTAAATTGTTTCCAATTGGAACTTGATTGGAAAAGAAATCTCTGCTGCTCATTTGGCCGTTCTAAAGAAACGAAGTGCTAAGTAGCCCATCAGTCTGAATACTAAAAGAAAGAGGAAAAGTACTAAAGTGTTTGCCCACAAAGGCAGTGGTTCTCCACCTTTATTGATGATGTCTTGAGGAGGAATGAAAGTAGCGTTTTCTTTTCTACAAGCAACGTAAAGTGTGTTTTCTGGAGCGCACCTAAAAATGAAAATGAAGAAACTGATTAGAGAAGATTGTAATTGATGGGATAAATTTTATTGAAGGCTGTTTTTCCTTTTCTACACAAGACTGTTTCACATTTTCTATGGCCCTCATTATGGCTCGAAATTCATATATATATGTATATTAGGGGGACCGGAAAGTAATGTCGTTTCGGCGCATTTGATATTTGTTATCAAGATTTTATTTTTAATCAATAATGTATTCACCCTCGTCAACAACAATCTTTCAAAGCCGGATCGAAAATAATGAATTCGTTTTTAAGACTAACGAATATTTAATGCACTGAAACATTACTTTCCGGTCCCCCTAATATATANTTTCACTATTAGAGTTATACACATTAGAATTATATATATCGAATTTTCAGTCAAATAGTCTAGACACTGCCATACACATCAAAAGAGTTTTGAGAAAATGTAGTTTAAAATTTGAGAAAGCTTTTTTATTTATCTGTCTGAGAAACACTGTATCTATCTTATTTATATGAGTTTAAACTTATGTTTTTGGGACTAATAAATGTGTAAATGAAAATTCCATACAGGTGTTCTTTCATACTTCCTCCCTTTTATTCATTCGCTTAGCTTATTTTAACATTAATTATTTATCTACATTTATACTTATATATATTATATATAATACACACGCACACACATATATATAGAGAGAGAGAGATTAACGAAGAAAACTAAAAAAGAATAAGTTTTCTTTGTTTTATTTTAATCTCGCAAACTTGTTAGGCAAATATATTAATCGCTTTTGAAAGATGCTGATAAGTGGAACTACCTATGAATTCGCTACTCGTTCTGTATAAAATATTTTGTATTTTATTCTGTATTTTCTTGAATTTTGATTTTCTTTTTTAGCTTAAAATGTTTTATTTTGCAATTATCGCTAAATTTTTTCCATTTTCGTTATAAAAAAAATTGGTGCTCCTCACACTTATTGTATTGATATATTTTGCTTTGGCTAAATGAATACAATATTAGAAAGCACTTTTTTTGCGGATATAATCGTGTGAACTGATGACGAGCTTATATCTTTTCCTTTTGTTGTTTTTGTCTTCCGACTTCTTAATATATACACATTTTTAAAGTTAAACCACAAAGGTATAGAAAATAATGGCGTAACAATATTTTCCAGATTGTTTTTTTAAATTGACAAATTAATTACCCAAAGAATTGGTTATTTTTTCTGTTGCAAGAGATTTTATAACAGATCTTAGATTTTTTCGCATCGCTGATTTCAAATCTTTAATCGGTTTCTCTCTTCAAGCTACAGTTTGTTTAAATTGATATTTGCAGACTATTATTTGTCGAAATGTACGAATTTAATATACGTTCTATATAACAGTGGCTCGCATAATTGTTGCAACAAACTTCTAGGGGTGTTAGGACACGTCAACAAGATTAAAATTGCATGGGAGGCTTGGGGTGCTTCCCTATTTAAGAAGTATTATTTCTCCGTTTGCTTCTGAATAAGTTTTAATTGCGAAAACGCTCCTAGCCGCGTACGACGACATTTTCAGTTGTGGGTTCCTATGCAGTTTTAATCTCGATGATGTGCCCTAACTCCAATAGAAGTTTATTTCAATATTTATGCTGCCCCTTGTTATATAAATGTTTTTGAACTTGTACATTTCGAAAAAAATGGACTAAAAATGTAATTTAAAAAAAATCTGCAGCTATAGAGCAAAACTAATTTCAGATTTGAAATCAACCTGAATTAGGCAAGATCAAGTATCCGTATAAAAGCGCAAAAAATTTATTACCCAATGTTATTTAAGCGAATTAAGTAATAATACTTGAACTATTAGAAAGAAAAACTATGTATTATTTGAAACTTTTTGTTTAATGGGATGGATATTTTGTTCTGTCACACGAAAAAAAGATTTACTTATTAAAAACAAAAATTCTGTCACCGAGTTTTCTTCAAACATGTTTTTATTTTTTTGCATTGGGATAATTTTTTAATCCACAAAATAAATCTTACAAAACATCAAGAACCTTTTCCACTGACAATATGGATAGATTTTGAATTAAATTTTACTTTTTATTTGAGATTTAGGAAAGAATAACCAACTGCATTTTCGGATGATGTAGTAGAAAGTCTGCTGTATTAAAGTGTAATTGGAACGATCTCATTTCCCCCTTGAAAATTTGAAAATCACCCCTTTTTTAGGAACCACTATTCTATAAAAAATGTACTAAATTTAAAATTTTTCACAATTAAAGAAGGGAAAAAACTGTTGAGACCTAAAAAGTCAAAATAAAAAAGTCTCATTTCATTTTAAAAAAATTTAAAATACGAATTTATTATTTTTTTTAATAATTAATTCTCGAATCACATTTTCGAAATTGTTAATCATATTCAACTGCTACTTTTAATAAAATATTTGTTATTTGTATAGATGATAAATCTAAATAATTTATATAAATAGGGTCTTATAAAAAAATGCTGAAACCTAAAAAGTCAAAATAAAAAAGTCTCATTTCGTTTTAAAAAAAATGAAAATACGAATTTATTATTTTTTTTAATAATTAATTCTCGAATCACATTTTCGAAATTGTTAATCATATTCAACTGCTACTTTTAAATAAAATATTTACTATTTGTATAGATGATAAATCTAAATAATTTATATAAATAGAGTCTTATTAAAAAATGTAGAGACCTAAAAAGTCAAAATTAAAAAGTCTCATTTCGTTTTAAAAAAATTAAAATATGAATCTTTTTTAGCAATCAATTCTCGAAATTGTGATTCTCGAATCATATTTCAGAAATTGTTGATCATATTCAACTGCTACTTTTAAATAAAATATTTATTATTTGTATAGATGATAAATCTAAATAATTTATATGAATAGGGTCTTATAAAAAAATGTAGAGACCTAAAAAGTCAAAATAAAAAAGTCCCATTTCGTTTTAAAAAAAAATTAAAATACGAATTTTTTTTAGTAATCAATCTTCGAAATTGTGATTCTCCAATCACATTTCCGAAATTGTTGATCATATTCAACTGTTACTTTTAAATAAAATATTTATTATTTGTATAGATGATAAATCTAAATAATTTATATAAATGGAGTCTTATATCTGAACTAGCCTTAATATATCTTTTAACGACCATGGTCAAAAATGAAGTAAATAAAAGTATGCATGTTAGAGTTTGAAAATTAAAGGGAGAAAAAAATCTTTAATGAAATCTAACGATTCACTACTGTAGAAGGCGGGTCTTGGAATTGGGTGATTTGCAACTTCAGAAGTGACGAGATTATACCAAACCATGTGGTTTAAATTTGATTTAATTGGATACCTGTAAGTGACGTCACTCGTCACTTCCAAGTATCCAATTAACGATCAATTAAGGAAAAGTATAATAAAATTAATTTGATTTGAACTTACGTTACGAGACTGCCTCCACCAAATTCTATGATTTGCATAGCATCAAACGTATAGTGAACCATGGACAAGTACCGTAGCCAAGAAAGCCAAGGTGGTATTGTAGTGGCATAATAGCCACCGAATAACATTGTTGATAGTGAAAATAATGATGAGATTGTTACAGACATTTGGAGATCTCTGCAAGCAGCCCCCACAAAGAGACCAACACTCTAAAAAACAAAAATAATAATTACTTTTTACAAGATGCATAAGATTTTCAGTGTAAGCTTAGAAAATTAGAACAATATTTATGTAATATTTTGTGTTTGATACAATTGATTCAAAAAAAAAAATCTTTAACTTTATAACTAATATCTTTCCAGTTAAAAAACGAATTTTTTGATGCATATTGCAAGAATTAAACAACTTCTCGTTCAATATTTGTACTATTGAAACCTTATTTTTCCTTTAAAGTTTTTTTTCTTGTCTTGTAAAAAAATTTTGTTATAAAAAACCATACAGAAGTGTCAGAAAACTTCTAACGAAATATTTTTCTCACTATTAGAGTTATACACATTGGAATTATATATATCGATATAGTCTAGACACTGGCATACACATCAAAAAAGTTGTTTTGAGAAAATGTCATTTAAAATTTGAGAAAGCTTTTTTTATTAATGCGTTCGTCAGTCTGAAAAACACTGTATCTATCTTATTTATATGAGTTTAAATTTTAGTATTGGGACTTTTTATAAATGTGCAATTGAAAATTCCATAGAGGTGTTCTTCTTTCATACGTCCTCCCTTTTATACATTTGCTACATACGTTTTGCTTATTTTAACATTAATTATTAATCTGCATTTATACTTTGTATTAAAATTTACGCTTCTAAAAAATCTAAAATCTACTTAAAGCTTGGTTATTTGTTGTAAATTAATGAAAGCAGCTCAATAATTGTAAAAACCCAAGATATAAAAAAATTTCCCTATGTCAAACTGGCCTTATTCCCTTCCTCTAAAATCTTACCTGCGAGGTCTATCAGCTTTTTGCAACTTACAAATGCAACTTTTTGCAATTTTTTTAATGTCGGGCTTAAAACTTATTCTACTAAATATAACCTTAAATTGTAAAGAATATTCACCTGTGCTACAACTGTGCTGAGCAAAAGAAAGCCCCATAACGCCAGGAATGTATATGATACTGTGAAACCAAGCAAAGGATATGAAATGATGTGGAAGACGGTAGGTAAGGTGATCATTAGCGGTAGTTCGCCGAGCATTTTTGCACAGTAGTAGGCTGACAGGCGATAAGCACCTGATGCACGTTCTTTGTTGATGACTTCACGCTCTGGTGGAACTGAAATTCAAAACAGTTCAATAAATACCTTTTTTTGTTGTTTATTATTATTGCCAATAGTAGCGAAGAGTTCTTGATATTTTACTGTGTAATTCTATTATATGGTTATTACAGATACTGTTTATTTGGAAATTGATGTATGTTTTTGTTTGGACAATAACATAGAAGGGATAACAGCATTAAATCTCTCACTTTATGCACGCATCTCATCGGCAATCGAAATTGCAGAGGGCGAAAATCCAAATTTAAAATGAGATGATAAAAATTGAACATAAAGAGAAGTATTGGGTTTTATTTCTTTACGGTCATTTTTAAATTTACAAGATTATTGCTGTTTAAAAATATATCACGCACTGAAAAGAAGTAAAAATTTTGGTAAAAACTGTACTATGAGAAGTATGACTCAATTAATCGAAGATGAATGAATTATGTGTATGGTTATTGTCACGAAAACAGGCAAAGACCGCTGAAAATTAGTAACAAATAAGTATTTCTGCTTATTTTTCAAATATGTCATTGACTTTTTTAACAAATAAAAGAATAAAATAAAATTTTGATTCTTTCCCTAGTAATAATAAAAAATAGTATTTGTTTAAACCTAATGAAAGAAGTCGATTTTTTTATGTTTATCATTTTCAATTTTTGATATTAGCCTTTTTTTTTTTTTAACTCGCAACCACTTTTTGAACGGAAAATTTTTTCTTATCTCCCCATACTCCACCTATGTATGGGAACGGAATACTCCACCTATGCTATAATATAGATGGTAGATCAGGTTATAAGTTGTGAGTTAATGCCGGGGGCAGAATTCATAAAAATTATTTTCTTCGTTGAATTATCATTGTATAAACGAATTTTATGATTGCCCGCTAACAAAAATGTTATGTAACGACAATTGAAAAATAGAGAAACTGATAAGTTCATTCAAGAACCCCTTATTGTACTTTCAAAAATTTCCTAAATTATATAGATATTTTTTATAGTTCTATATTTTATAGTAGTTCTATATTTTACAGTAGACAACGTCCTATAGGATTTTGGGTAGTATTTTTTTTAAAAAAAAAAGTGTTTAATATTTTGCAGTGCAATTGAAAAGTCAATGTAAGCGACAAAATATTCCAAATTTAGATTCTAATATATTTGGCATCTTTATATGGTAAGCTACATATAAAAAAAAAAATCAATAACACATTTTGTTTTATCTGTTTTTTGAAATTCTACTTTAGCGTTCATAGCATTAGCAATAGAAGGAGAAAAGTTGTCAAGCCACTTTTCTCGGAATCAATCGTGGAGCACTTACGTTGTTCTTTCAATTGCATGGTAGTATTAAAGATTATATTTTCTACCGGAATTTTAAAATTATTCACAATAATTAATAAAAATTAAGCTATATATGTTTGGTTTAAACTGACTGACTCAATATGGCTGTTATAAACTTGCAGTGGAGATAGGACACACCATAAGAATTAAGAATTGCTCAGCAATCCGTGTTCAGATATGTCATCGAATGCGCCTGGAACGCTTCCTTATTGAAATAACTAAACTGATTCTTTTTATCTAAATTTTATGTTAATTTCCTTTTTTCTTATAATTATTGGTGAAAATACATTCAAGTACACCGAAAAATAACTTATTGTTATATACTGATTTAGCAAACAAATTAGTGGGCTCTTTAACCACCAAATTAGTAAACACGATAAAACAGATAAATATTGAAAATTTTCGATAAAAATTATTAAGAAACATAAAATTAAGGTAATTGAGATAAAGAGAAGAATGGGTTCAAATGCGTTCAAGCAACCAGTTAACAAAAGGGAAGCACCCCTAGCGGCATACGATGACATTTTTGGCCATGGTTTACTATACATTGCTAATTCTCAAGATGGTTTGTCTTTCCTCCAAGTTTGTGACCGCTATGGTTTACTCTGTAAAAGTTTGACAGAAGTTTTATTATTATAAAATTCAGAAATAAAATTTTTAGATCAATTAGTAAAAAGATTTATTAATTTGTTTAATATTCATTATCAGTGAGTTTCAGTAGTTGGATAAGAGTAAATAAACAAATCTTACATGAAACGAGGGCTTCAAATAAAGCAAATAACATCCAATATGTAGAACTGAAAAACATCTGAAATAAGAAAGTTTAATTATGTTTTGAATGGAAAACCTAGTGAATAATTTTTAAACAAAAATAGATTTAAGAAATTGTTTAATAGGCTTACACAAGGAGTTTTCCATGTGCACTATAAAACTGAATCATTAAGCTTGGATTTAAATCTATCTGTTGGGTAATTAAAATGTAAATGAATTTGCGATGCTATTAGACATTTTTTAATAAAAAAATGCCCCTTCCGCAAAAATAGAGAAAAGAACATAAAAAGGTTTCATAAAAATTTTAGTATATAATTTTTTCTGTTTTTACTTAAAAGATTAAGATTTTAGGAACATCTCTTTTAGAAAATACTGCAATATAGTAGGAAGTTGGGTTAGAAACACTTTCCCCCCCTTTAGAACTCGTCTTTAATAAGAGTGTTACATATACCGAATAGAAAAATAAAGTTATATACTGTGTAGCTTGTAACAAGGTTCTTTTTTTAATTTATTTAAAATTGCGCTTTTTTAGAATATTTATAGTATCTATTCACGGAGTTCTTCAATTGTTTTCTTTATGGTGGGGAAATATTTGTGTTCGTATTTACTAATAAGAAAAAATAAAATAGTTTAATTTTCAAAACTTAATAGGTAGTTTAGAATTCGAAATAATGTAGTACATTCTAAAAACATGGTTCAACGTTGAATCATTTAGAGAGATTTCACATTGAGTAGAAAGAATTTGCATTAAGTAATTTGCGCTAGCCGTTACGCTAAACTTATTTTCCTGCGATTTGTAGGGAAATATTTGCGCATGCGCTGTAAAGCTCGAATAACGTTAACGTTAGAGCTGAGGGTAAACGTAACGCTTTTGCATATATATTGGCGGTACATTAAGTTATTATAGCTTGCAAGTTTTCCTCACCCTTAATAAGGTGTGAAATAGAATATTATGTTTATGTTGAATCACATTAACGAGTAATCAAGTCTGTGAATTATTATTATTATTATTATTATTATTATTATTTTTGCAGCATACTGTGGTTAAACTTGGAAACGCATCGAGGTTGCAGTTATATGAAATAATCTTATCGTTTAACACGGTTTATAATTTTTAACAGCATGTATAAATAATTTTATTTTTTTAAGTATTTCAAAATGTTGCATTTTTAAAAACTTCGTAAGTGATATGAAAATATGGCAACTTTATTTAATAAAAATAAATAAATAAATGAAATTTCCAATATTGATCTCGAGTTAAAAATTTGGGAGAGAATTTATTTTAAAATGAAAGTGACACTGTGTTTAGCCAAAATAATCAAGGTAATGAAGTGGAATGATGCTTCTTCTTTACTCAGAAGTGAACTAAAAACTCTTAGATATTAGCTGTTAGTGTTCTGCGACTAATTTTAATTCCCTCATAAATTATTTTTTATAAGCTACTTCAATTGACACGCTGCCAGACAAGTGTTTACTTTTTATTTATTTATTTTTTTGCAGCTTTACCCAAAGATCTCATTTCATTCAAATGAGTAAATGAAGCAANAAAAAAAAAAAAAAAAAAAAAAAAAAAAACTATATTTCCTATTATAGTTATGTAAACCACCCTATTAAGATTGCAAATTTTGTCTTTATAGAGGATTTATGCTCAATTTTTCTAATTTTCGTTGCAATAAATATTTATGTGCTTAAAAAGAAGTAAGGCAAATTTTTTTTGAAAGCATAATTTTACCGCTATTTTCATGCAAATAATCACAATATTGAAATCTCCAAAATATTAATTGTAAAAATAAATATTCTAAAATAAATATTCTAAAAATGAATAGATTAAAATTTATTTGAAATACTAGTTCAAATATTTTTGCAGCGTAAATCATTTTTTGTCCCTTTGCAAGACGACAAGCTTCTTCGAAGAAAGGGCGTGAAGAAAAATTATACGTTTACTGTTTTTGAAGCAATAATAAACGTACAGAATCATAAAAACGTTTTATAGATGGCTCAGGGAAGTGAGGGCTCAGGGGACAAAGCGTTCGCCTTCCAATGAGGTGAACCGGGTTCGAATCCCAGCGATGGCTGGTCGTTACGAATTCCGCATCCGGCTTGCACCGACCACTGTGCTGACGTAAAATATCCTCAGTGGTAGACTGATTATTGGTTTGAGACTAATCGTGGGAGGTTCTCGTGGTCTTAATCTTCATGTAAAACAAATGCGGGTTAGTTCCATCAAAAAAAAAGTCATACACGAAGGCAAATTTCTCCCAATATCTGATCCAGGAATTTCCTTGTCTTCTGGATTGGGTTCCAAATTACAAGTCATTAGTTGAACATTAGTAGTCGTAAACCCAAAAATTGGGTGGGCTGTTCAACGACGGTTATAAAATAAAATAAAATATACTTCCAATAGCCTTCCAATGAGGTAAGCCGGGTTTGAATCTCANTACATTGCATAGATGGTTCAGGGGACAGAGCGTTCGCCTTCCAATGAGGTGAACCGGGTTCGAATCCCAGCGATGGCTGGTCGTTACGAATTCCGCATCCGGCTTGCACCGACCACTGTGCTGACGTAAAATATCCTCAGTGGTAGACTGATCATGAGTTAGAGTCCTCTTGACGTCAGACTAATCGTGGGAGGTTCTCGTGGTCTTAATCTTCATGTAAAGCAAATGCAGGTTAGTTCCATAAAAAATAGTCATCCAAGAAGGCAAATTTCTCCCAGTATCTGATCCAGGAATTTCCTTGTCTTCTGGATTGGGCTCAAAATTACAAGTCATTAGTTGAACATTAGTAGTCGTAAACCCAAAAATTGGGTCGGCTGTTCAACGATGGTTATAAAATAAAATAAAATATACTTCCAATAGAGAACGTTCGCCTTCCAATGAAGTAAGCCGGGTTTGAATCCCAGTGATGGCTGGTCGATATGAATTAATTATTTATTATGATTATATTCTCACGAATTTATTATGATTATATTCTTACCCATCCCTTAATGTCAAAAATGGTATCCTCTCTTCTTGCTATTTGAAACCACATCAGACCGCTCACAATGCCCAGTCCAATCGTTTGTGCCCAGTTCAGTTTAGACAGCATTCTCCTACGTCCTTCTATGAAATTACGTTCTGACAGCACAAGTACTTGAGAAAAGAATGAAGTAGGCCATTTGGGACCATAGAGATGATCTTCTTGACTGTCATAGATGGAGCTATGTTGGGTCTCTGACCACCATGAGGATCGACCTGAATCTTCATCTTCCATCGTTTCTGGAAAAGAATTTTTTATAATTAAAACGGAAACAAAAGCACTCACTTGAAATCAAGTAATAAAAATGGGTTTTATGGTAAAATGGATTTACAGATAATGCATCAAAGTACCGGTATTTTATAACGTAACTTGATCTGGAATTTTTTACAGTGTACTTGCTTGCCTGGGAAAAAAAGCGACGGGGGAACAATGATCACGATATTGCTACCACCATACCATTGGATTCAAAATACTTAACTTTCGGATGTCAACCGGTTCTTCAGCAAATATTAAAAAAAAAACATTTATGAAACTCTAGATTACAGAAAAATTAATTAATAAAAATGGGGCTTAAAACTATTTGCTGTAGATATCTGCTTTTGAAGTGAAACTTGTCGTAGCGTGAGGTTTAATATAAAAACCTCCGTGAGAATTTATGACATGTTTTAGTGATTCTGTCCATTTTTAAACTGATATTTAAAAGTGATTTAAAAATGAGAATAAAAATATTGACGTGATCGAAAAAGTTGATAACACTGATAACACTAGAGAAAAAAAAATTCTGTTTGATGAGATTTTTTAACAGTTCTTAGACACTTTCGTATCAAAATCTTCAAACTGCAATCGGTTTCTCTCTCCAAAATTAAATTTAAAAAAAAAAAATTTGGTTTATTTTTTGTCAAAATTTGTAAGATAAAAAATATAATACACAACAGGGTGTCGCATAAATGTTACTACAAACTTCTAGAGGAGTCAGGGCACTTAATCAGGATAAAAACTGCATAGGAACTCATGCCCAGAAATGTCATCATACGCTGCTAGAAGCTCTCCTCTATTATGAACTGTTTCTTCATATGCTTCTGAACAGGTCACAATAGGGAAGTGCACCTAGGCTCGGACTATAGCATTTTTGGGCATGGGTCCCAATGCAGTTTTCATTCTGATTATGTGCCTTAACTCCCCTACAAGTTTATCGCAACATTTATGCAATCTCCTGTTATATATAACTTTTTCAAACTTATACATTTCGACAAAAAAAGACCAAAAATGTAATTTTAAAAAAATTAAAAAATCTGTAGCTTTAGGAGCAAACCTGATTTCTGATTTGAAATCCCCACACCAGGCAAGATCGAGAATTTGAAATTTGAGCAACAAAAAATTTGTTCCCTAGTGTAATTATAATTCAGCTATACGAATTAAAGCTGTCATTTAGTCCAGCTATTTAAACTGAGAGTTGTGTCTAAAATAATTTCTATTTTAAAAAAGTTGCGAATGAACAGGCAATAAGAACTAGTAGTTACTCTAGTAGAAAATCTAAATTTTATTAATCTATTTTAAAATCTATTAGTCGAAAGTACTTTTAAAACTGAAAACTTAATAATTAAAACATAAAGTGTTTTATGCATGGAAGAAATTAATGTTCAAAAAACAAATTTTAAAAAATTACTTAGATGTTTAATTTTTTTCTTATTATTATTCAATAATTTTTTTTATAATTCTATTCAGTGAGATTTTACAGCAATCTTACCTCTTTTAGAGCAGACAGTTGTAATCTTTTGATTTTCATTTAAAACAACTTTCACTTCCATTGGTGGAGTAACAACAGATTCCTTTGGCACGTTCCAAACCAATTTCTCTTCGGTATTGGTATCGATCTCTGCTGGCTTGAAATTTCCACTGTGATCAAGACATAGATGATTAAAATATTTTTGGTTAATGAAATCAAAAGTATATGGTACTTAAACCATTGGGTAGTTTTTCCCGTTCATACGATAACGATTTATCGAAAATTCTCGTTTTTAAACCTATAGTTCTTATTACCACACATTTTGCAAAATATATAAAACTGAAAAGTAAATTTAAACAAATAAATGGTTTTTACGTACTGATCTAAAGTATCATAATTAAGTTAAAAAATTTTACCACGTTTACAATATTTTATTACATGTTATAAAACCATATTTTATTATTCATTTTATCAAAATCATTATCAAAGTCTTTTTGCAAAAATTACCGAGTTCTTTTTAGTTTTTTAAGGTAATTGTGAATGTTATACTCTATAAAAATCTACTTTAAAAATATTTAATGAAGATTTAATATCGCTTTATCATTAATTATCTTAAATTGGGTTTTATGACTGACAGGCAAAGTTGACAGCCTTGGGCTATATCTTGTCTAGTCAAGAATTTGTTTTTGGTGTTTTTTGGTTTCATCAAGCTGAAAAGGAACAAAATAAGCCAAATTGTGGCTTACTTTGAAATGGAAAAAAAAACTGCTATGAATGTTGAAAATAGTTATTAGGGAAACATATTTCTTTATTAAACAAACTAATTAGTTTATTTTGATTTGAAAAGCGAGATAGGAAATAGTAATGCAATGAATGCTTATTCTTTTCATAATTTATTCAATACGTTGTTACCAGAAATATATATACAGGGTGTCCCAAAACGACCGCATAAACTCTGCACAGCTACATTCCTCGCTGGGAGTACATAAAACCTGCCCAAGAAGCGTTCCTGTACGATCCATAGTTTAAGAGAAAAATATGAAAAACAAAGTATGACGTCACTGTCGGTGAAAGAAAAAAAAAACACTTTATTGAACATATCAACAACAGTATTTGCATATCTTTCAAGACGATGATGTTTAAAACGTTCGCCGCTCATATTCGGCTTTAAATTGTGCATAGTATACTGCTGTTGATATGTTAAATAAAGTGTTTTCTCTTGCACCGGCAGTGACGTCATACTTTGTTTTTCGTATTTTTCTCGTAAACTATGGATCGTATAGGAACGCTTCTTTGGTCAGTATTTATGTACTCCCAACGAGGAATCTAGCTGTGCAGAGTTTATGCGGTCGTTTTGGGACACTCTCTGTATATATTTTTTCTCAAAAAATACCATTTCTGTTTCATTGGCATTTTACTTGAAGTTATTTCCTAAAGGCTAACAAAGGACTAAATAAATAACGAATTTTAGGTTGGATCTAAATATAATCGGAGGTTTCAAAAAACTGATCACTGGTTTTAAAAGTACTAACTCACGGAACCGTAAAATATATGCCAGCATAGTATATACTTATATACCAGCATAGTATATAGCTCTTGCATGTAAACGAAGTTAATTTTTCAGAATCACTTGATTTCCTTAAGCTTTTATCACTTCGAAGCCATGTTACTCATGTTTATCCGGAGTGAAAAAAATCCTCATCAATAATAGTTATTAATCGATTTTTAAAAAAAATCGCTAACTGATCAATGTTCTTTTGTTATATTCTGACTGAGAGTGACTAAATACCTTTCTCTTTCGAGTTACTATCACTTTTTGAAACCTGTCTAGTTATTCTGAAACTGTTTTGAAGATATGATTTCGTCTCTTTTTTGATTTTTTGCTGTAGTCGGTAGGGCATATATCAATAAGCTATAACTGACCTTTTTCGATGCACCTTTTTTAAGAAATTACTTAATGATACCACTTCGAAAATGTTTAGGTATATTTGAGATTATATCAGTTGTACGGTGTGATAATGTCTTAGCGTTAACATGAATACTTTTTGAGTTAAGAAAGAATTTTGATGAAACTTTTTAAAAAGTAAAAGTTACTAGTTTATACTTCTTTTCAAACATTTTCTACCAAAGAAATATATTGACAGCTATCCCAGTGAAAACATGTATAAGTAACAGGGTGCGTAGCCAAATCTTTCAAAAAAAAAATAAGCACCTTTTAAGTATTTTTCAAGCACTCAAAAAATATTTTTAAGCACTACATACATTAACAAAATGCAAAATAATTTTCAAAGACTTTACATGATCATGATAAAATAACTAGTTTCTGACAAAGAACTCTTTTCTTGATTATATTAACCATTATAAAATGATCGAGAGATTTTTCGGTTCGATGTCAGAGGGTGGAAAATGAAGCCTGAAATTGAGAATATCTTGCAAAATGCAGCAGAGTTGCACATGAGAGTGTAATAATCTCCCCGAACCCAGCTCAGTATACTCACATGCGGACTCGCAAGTATTTCATCAAACATGCAAAATGATTGGCGCTTGCATAAGCTGTGAACTGACGATACGACGAAATAGTTGTGAAAACGTTGTGAAAAACGTTGAATGCTCATAATGTGAAAACGTTAAATAGAACAATGTGAAAAGCACGCTTTTGCATAATACGTGGCGAAAATCGACATGATAAAGAAAAAAATTTTCGTTTTCGAAAAGAGAAAATGAAGCACTTTTTAAACACACCCAATGAAAAAGCACCTTTAAGGGCTTTTAAAAATCGAAAATAAGCACCTTCAAGCGCTTTTTAAAAACGCTAAGCACCATGTGTAAATGTTCTGTGGAAAAAAAAAGAGAAAAAAACAGAATAAATTATCTGAGGGAAGGTGCATTGAAAAAAATCAATTTCAACATTAATGGCATATGCCCGACCGACCCCTCGTAAAGTTTTTCATTATTTTCGTTTCTGATATTATTTCACTGTTTCAAAATTATTTCTCTAGTTTTACACAAGAAGTGATGAGCGATTTCCCGCTAAAAGTAAACTCGATTGCATTTGTAGCATCACACCTTCTCAAAAGACTCAATTTTTCTCGTTAAATCAAGAATCTCTTTAAATACAAAATCGTTATTAGTGGTCTTATTGTAATTTGTAGGAATCGAACAAAAATATAACGTTACTAATAGTACTCAGCTTAAATTATTTTGCAAGTGATATTAAACAAGTACGGAATTTGAGAAAATTGTTCATTGGAATTAGAGGAAACAGTACGGAATGGTTTGTGGACACTTTTTTAAATTTTTTTTATCAGTTATTAAAACAGGTGAGTAAAACGTTTTATAAATTTTTAAGTAATCGTAGTTTTATTTTTGTTTCAATCATATATCAAAGAAGCATAAGTAATTTAATATGTTTCTATGTGAAAGTAAAATCATTACACGGAAGAAATGTAAGACTTAAACAGTATTAAAATAAATGAAACAGAAAATTTTGAATGACAGAAATACCTGGCATGCATTCTGTGCCACATAGTCATTTGGCAATGAGGACATTCGATAGCTCGAAACTGACTTTCGAAAGAGGGATTAACTAAATCCATCGTATTACTATTTCTCAATTCGCTTGGGTAATCCGCTGTGTTTCTGAAATATATTAAAAACAAAATACTTAAATTGTTTTTTAAAGGTAAATTAGTTTAGAAAGATAATTCGCAAAATCACTTGATAAAGACAAACTTAAATTAGCGAATGAGTTTAAGTTATTATATTTTAAAATTCGGAATTATATAATAATTAATTAAAAAACCGAAATTATTTTAATAAAATGTGATTGTTATTTGAAATTTACTTTGAATAAAACACTTTACTATTTTTACTAGTTTATATTTTAACATGATACATTTTTTGAATAAATGCTTCTCGTCCCAAGTTTTTATTAGTATCTCGAGTTTTTTTCATTATATCAAATTTTAATGTACCATTGGACTATTCTTGGGTTAAAATTAATTAAAAAACAATTTTCATCTACTTCATTATAAAAAAAAGTGTTTTTTTTTCTTTGTGGGAAACAAGACGGTTTCAGAATTTCGGGACCTAAGATACGCAATATTGGAACTCATTTTTCTTAATGAATATAAAATATTTTGGTTATTTAATCTGCAAGTTAACTGATTAGTGTAGGTAATTTTCCTATATTATTAAATTTGTGAAGATATACATAGTTTCATTTTTTTGAATGAAATTATTTTATCAGTATGGCTTTACAGATTAATAAGTAATTGACTCCTGTGCGGTTTAATGAAAAGTGGACAAGGGTGATAGCATTAAAAATACAGTAGAGATTGCAACGGCATTTTTTTTTTTTATAAATGAGAAGAGCATTGAAGATAACCAGTTCACATGAGAACATTTAAAGTGAATGTAAAATCGAGCCGCGATCGATGCACCTAAACAGGTCCACGTGCAGCAGTACGCTTAACAAGGGGCATGATCTTCTTCGAAACTATTGGTACTGTTAATGAAATGGTTGAGGAAATCGAAGGTTACAACTTGTGACATCTGTGCAGCGCATCGTTTGACATGAGTAAAGGAATAATACGAAACTATCTTGAGTGCTAGATGAAAAATTATACGCAATCCGCAATGCATTCGCGTATCTTTCTTTAGAACCCTGAATGGCTCCAATGCCATCACTATTGTATTTCTAACTGCAACTTCTGCTTTAATAATATAAGCAACCCTAATTAGCCCTTATTGAGACTAACCCTAACTTACAATGAATCCTAATTAAGAACGATGTTTTAAAATACCGCAATTCTAAGGAAATGAAGAAAAAAAAAGATTCCTAAATAATTAGTACTTCACAATGTTTTTATATTTTCTTAATGCTTTATAATTCATTGAATTGTCACTGTTTTAAATAAAAATATTTGCAAAAAAATATTTTCAATTTAGACCAGATGTGCTAGATAGTTGGCTAGCTTGCTGGGAATCACGCAATTAAGTTTGTGCAAAATTGATACAATGCAAGTGTTTAAGAAATTTAAAACATGCCAAGTAACTTACTTTAGTTGCTGAGCGGCTGAGATTATTTTTTCTTGAACTTCACATCCTTTCTTTAACTGTTCCACTAAAAATAGTGTAAAAGACAAAAAGGCAATTAGGTTTGCAATATACTACTATTTATAATTTTATAAGTAACTGTGCTTTTTTTTACCTTTTTACATTTTGATTATGACCTTGATATAATGTAATAAATTGATAATTAGAAATGCATGTTAAATTTTTGTCGCTAGAATATATTCTATTCTAACTCCCTTGCTCGCTAAAGCACAAAAAATTGGCTTCTTCTATAAAGTGGCATTGGACGTAGTTAGATTTAAATATAGCAGAAGATGAGTTTGTAGTATTGGTTTAAAAACTGTTTAAGTTTTACGTAGAGCTTTAAAACTCATTTTTCGTGCATGATTTAAAGTGAAAACTACATTAGTTTTCAAACATTTATTCATATTTTACTGTTTAAACGCTGCGTTTGTCAATGCCTTTCAAATAGAAGTAACAAATTGTCTCGTAATAAGAGTCTTTGTAGATCTTGTTGTAGAAAATATTACGGAATGAAATATTAAGTGAACAATATTTTATGTAGATAATGTTTATGTAAATTAAATTTTAAACTAAGTTACAGTTCTTATTTCAGCAATATTTTACATTCCTAATTACGTATTGCAATATATATTTCCTATCCTCCATTTTACATTTCGTTGTTATTTTATATTTACGTATTCAATTATAAAAATGCAAAATCTTTTTTTAGTTCACCATTAAAATTTATTAAAAAATGCTTACTAATGAAGTCAGCTGGATTGTAATGAGGCTCAATGCATAGACCTATATTTGAAAAGAAGTCAACAATATTTCTCTCTGATCCAAAGTAGGCAACCTAAAGGATAATAGAAATGAAAGTATTTAAATATGCATGCCATGTATTAGTAACGATATACGAAATAATATTTCAATTCTGTTTTTTCACAATTCATGTTTAAGGAACTTTTAGATATGAAAAAAATATTGCTTTCGCCAAACATAGAAACATTAAATTTTTTTATTCGAAAATACTAAATTCATGCTCTATTGTTAAAAATATCATTCACTGCTTTTTGCATAGAAACGTTATAAAAGAATATATCGTTTCCCTTTTCCTTAAAGTAAATAAGAAGAATTCAACAACACATCGCAGACACTTTTTTAATAAAAAATATTTTCTTTAATTCCCTCATAAGGTAATTAAGTACCTGTAGTTATACGTATCAAGTATTTAGCATTAAAATATACAGCTATAGTAGAAAAATTAAAGAAACGTTTACACAGCAAAGAACTAAGAGATACTATAATTTTACAATTTTACCTTCTTTGTTAACACACATGTTTTACTACAGTTCTGAGCGTGACCTTACTACCGCCAAGTTCAGGCTGAAGAACAGTTTTGTAGAGAAGTGTAAGGAGAAAACGTATTTACCTCCTTTCTGAGCGACCTAAGTTGAACGATCACCACATGACCGATTTTTATTTTATTTTCAGAAAACGCTTTTTCAGAACTATAATAGGTACTCTTCTCTTTTAATATACATCCTCCAGATCTTCAGGTGAAGAAAAATTTCTTTTTTAAATTCCTTTTTATAATATTACTTTTCGGTTATCTAGCAAAATAATCAATTATAGCCAAACTTCAATTCAATGAGCCCGAAGGGATACACTAAAATTTTCATGATATTGAAATCTAAAATATATTTCTAAGGTTCAATCAAAATAATACATGTGTTGGAAATTTAAAGGATTTATAGTTATTTACTTTAATGCACTTTTATTTTGTACGACTCATAGGTTAGTTAGTAAAATAATCAAAGTCCTTTCGATATAACACATTTGAAGGGACACGTTAAAAGTTTCAGGAAATTGAAAATCATAATGTCTTTAACATATTGGTTAAACAATGATAGTGTTGAAATTTTAAAAATAATATTGAATGTATTTGCACAAAAACCAATTAATCGAACAATTCATTCGCCTTTGTCGCATTTAAATAAACGCTTTGTGAAAATTCTTCTGATATATCTCCCGACGCTGAAACTTTTTTAATTTTTCTGATGCTTCCAAATTTCCTCATACTGCAATATTTCTGTTCACTCTAAATAATTCCTCTTAAGTATCACTGTAATAGTGTTCCTTATATGTATCATCAAGCCCTTTCCAATCCTATAGCCGAACTTTCTTACCTTTGCTCACACTTGTTGCAAGTCCACTTCTTAAAGATGATTCGAGTAACTTTTTTCTTCTAACTCTTTCTTGTTAAGAATTTAAAATATGGTTTATGACATTATTTAAAAAAAAGCTTGAAAACTTTTAGTTCAGGAAGATAGATCAAATTATTTAGAAATTAGGGTAAGAATTTTTTTTGCGTGATCAAAAATATATCATGAAATCAAGAATTACCTAGAAACGTATTCGGTTCAAAGAATTTTTTCCTATTATCAGCATAGGAAATGCACTGCATTCCGTAATATCGAAATATTCATGTTATTGAAGTTCGTTATATGATGGCTCAACGTTATTGATGAAACTTACAGGGTTAATTTCAATTTTCATCTTAATATATAAATTTTCAAATATAACCTTCAAATTTCTATACAATATTTGAACTTGTTTTTTGAAGCTGAGTTTTCTGATGTAGATTTTAATTTATCTTATAAATTTATTCGAATATTTATTCACATGCAGACCTATTTATATATTTATTTACTTGTGAAAGGCAATAAATATTATATTTCTTTTGAATTGAGTTGATGCCGTCTTTCATTGATGCTTATTTTATAATTATTATTCATATATTATTAAATACTATTATAAATTAGTAATTATTTTATAAATTAGAATTATTTTACAAATTATAATTATTTTTTTTGGTATCACGTGGTATAAATTGAAAAATTAATCAAAATATATTTCAATTCATCAAAAAATAATTCGTAAAACAGTTTTTTTCTTTTTTAAAAAACATCAATATAAAAACACAAAAATTAATTAACAAAGCTATAGTACTTTATTCTTTTTTTTACATGTAGATGCCGAAGCAGACAAGGCATTTGTTGTAACGTGAGACAAATTTTTTTACTTCGATGATTCAATATTCCCTACTGCCACCAAGAATATGAACCTTGATTTCAATTATTGTTTCAAGTCTTCTTCATTTCAAGTTTAAAAAAACTTTCCAAAATCTTGTAACAAATTAATTAATTATTTCGGAAGTATAAATATGCATTTTTAATGAATCTTAAAATTATGTTTCGTGGTTATATGTTTCTTAATGATAGTAAACGCTAAGTTTGCATTAAAAGATTTTAATTAGCTAAATAAAAAAAATCACGTTATACTCCTCTCATAACTTTATACTCTATTGTACCAGAAAAGTTAGAAACAGCAGCGAAACATAATATAAAAACATGCACAGTAAGTTCCCTTAACCCTTCAGAGCAGAATTTTTGCTATACATATTTTCATACTGTTTTCATTATTTTGTATACATTTAGGCAAAAACAAGTTTAAAAAATTATGTTCAGCATTTTAATAATTCATGATTATGAAATACAGCATGAAACACTGGTGTCTTTTTCTACGTTAAAGGTACAATCTTCCAAACACGGCTCATTTCCAAAAAAAAGATTTTTTAAATTTGCACTTGTTTGCAGTTATTTGGATCTAAAAGAAATAATTAATCATCAATGTCTTTAAATTACAAAATCAGTTAGTTATAAATTTTTGAACATTAAATTCAATCTACTTTTCTTGGATTTAATATTTTATTACAAATATAATTCCAATAATCTAACAGATTTTTTACTAACTATTACACTGTAAGAAATACCAAAATGTATTTTTGCTTGCAATAATAGCATCAAAAACATTTATTGAAGAGACCATCTGTGACAAAGGTTTAAAATTGAGAACATGTTGCATTCATACAAATGAAATAAATATGTGTTTAAATCATTCAATGATTATGGAAAGAGAAGAGAAAACTACCCAAGAATTAAGTTAAATAAAAATAGCTGCTTTTTAAATTCAATAAAGAATAATATTTTTTGTTCCATTACCTGTCCTTTACAGAGTAAAAGAATTCTATCGAACATATGGAATATTTGACTTGAGGGCTGGTGAACGGTGACAACAATAGTTTTGCTTTCTTCCGTTGCATATTGTTTAAGCATAAGCATCAAGGAATACGCTGAGCTAGAGTCCAGACCAGTTGTTGGTTCCTAAAAGTATGAGGAGTAGGAGAATTCAAAAAAGGAAGCACTAATTCATGTTCTTTAAACTTTTATCTCAAATATTAATGAACTGAGAAAATTAATAAATGCAAGCCTTAATCACAAGTTCCATGCTCATGTAAAATTATTAGTAGCTTCTTTATGTAGCAATATCAGCAATATCTATTTTTTATTATTTAAATAGGATTTAGGTATGTATTTTAAGAGTTTTATTCTAATAATTGAGGAAAGGGCTTATGAAATCTTAATTGGTACCTAGTACTTGAAGATTATTATTTTAAGTTTCTTAAAAGAATTACAAGCTTTATCTTAAACGAGGAACATCCGAAATCATTTTTCCCAATATACTACTGACTACAAAAGAAGTGTTACAATAGATGATCAATTATATTCAAGAAACTAAAATTATTATTAATCCAAAAGTATTCTCTTTAGGCATCTCAAATCTCTTTATTCTCCTTAGAATCAATTGTTTTCTTTAGAATCAATGACTGTAATTTTTCTTTTTACGTTAACTGAATACATTAAAAATAAAAGACCATATACTCACGTCAATCAGTAGTAGTGAAGGATTAGTAAGTAATTCACAAGCAATGTTTGCTCTTTTCTTTTCTCCACCAGACAGACCTCTTTTCAAAGAATCACCCATGCCTAAAAAAAAATATAAACTAAATTAAAGCGAAAGTGTTTAAATTTTAATCTAATTTTTAGATAGCTATTAGTTTTTCTTATACATTTTTTTCTTTTCTTTTTTTTACTAAAAACTATTCACTATATTTTTTAAGATCCTTCATAATATCATTGTATACACAGTGCGTCTGGAGAAATCCGCATATATTCCGTTAGAAATATAAAATTTTATGCATAATAATTTCTCAAAAGATGCATAAAATAATACCAAACTCAAATTTCCCAATCATAATCCCTGCTCCTGAGGGCAGCTTTAAATCTTAAATACCCTCATTGTTTATTGTAAATTTGGATTCGTCTGAGGAAAAAACAGAAATCATCTTAGATTCAGGAGTAAGAAAGGAGTCAAGTTTGATATCGTTGGATAGGTTTTTCAAAATATCAAATCTATGTTTTTTGTTGATCCGAGATGCGTGTCTCGTATTTCCATTCAGCAATTCGTATTCCTTTTTTGTTTTGTGATTATATCGCTACCCGGAAATCAAAATGCAAAAATGCAACTAAAAAAAGGAAGTTGTCATTTAAGATTTTGATGTTGTTCCCGCATTTACTCTAAAGGATTGAGGTTGTAAGGTTGAGTTTGGTAATGCATTTTTTAAAAAATTATTTCATGCGTGTATTTTTTTAAGTTTTGGAAGAGATGCCTATTTTTAAAGACAGTTGACCGTTTCCATACTTTTTTGATACTCTTCATGTAGCTTTTTGTACTCGTCTAAAAGTTTTAAACGCGTACTGTATATATATTACTAAAAAATATATAATCCGCACAGCGTTATTTTAACATAAGTGTAATAAATCTGCCGTCTTTGCATAAGAAACGCTAAATATGGAAACTAATTTATTTGGAAGTGAATTTTTTTTTCATTTCTAAACATTAGTTTTACAACAAATATAATATTTTACGCTTTGTAATAGATGATATTTTAAGCGTCATTAAATGTTTTCAGATTACATTCCCACACTTTTCATTAAAGGTTTATTTTTTTGATATCGTAAATAAAGTTTCTCACAATTTTGTGAATGTACGAAAATAGAGTTCTGTTTTTGGTTAAAAGAAGAAAAAAAACCTGTCTCTTTTAATGCGTTTTAGTTTTAAAATTATAAATTAAATGCGTCATAGACTACGATTTTCAAAAGAATAATTATATAGTCTTTTGCGAAGTCTCTTAGAGTGAATATAGTCATATATAGTTTAGTCTGAGATATATAACTAGTAATATGACTTTAATATGGTAATGACTGGTAATATAGTCCCTTAAGAGGAGTCATTTTTACAATAAAATTTTTTGTGAAGAGTCCGTTAGAGGACACTTTAAAAGTGAAATATCTAATAAAACATGGCATTAACTATACTTATTCCTGAGATGTTTCAAAAAATTTTATTGTTCGAACAAATTTTTATTCTATAGATAAAGGTGTAAGCCAGTAGTAAGGAGATAAAGGAACTATCGAAAAGAGAACAAAAAATAGGACAATGAGTCTGTTTAACACACTTTCACTTTCTTAATTTTCCTCCAATAAATTATAATCTGTTATTGATGAGACAATTAGATTAGTCATCTTTATTTCTCTTAGTTATTATATTATCACGAATTCATTTTCACTGAAAAAATACGTAATTAAGATTCCGCCGTATGTATTAAAAGACTTTCTAGGCTAAGAAAAAGGAAAGGAAATATAATTAGGTAAACTTTTTCTTCTGTATACTTACGATGCGAAAGTTACATTGAAATATTTAGATCTTCCGCTATTAACTGATATAACAGCAAAATCATTAAATTATAGGATAACCTGGGGGGTAAATTGCTCGTGGATAGAAAAATTTAAAATAGAATATCAGTTAATTAAATGAATTAGAGAATTAATAACAGCTGAGAAGCTATAATATTTATCTAACAGAGCTAAACTATGACATAAATATACATGTCTGACCAATATAAAGCCAAAGAACTGTTTATTTTGTAGTAAAACTTTTTGAATATTTGTAGTTATTTTATTTTAAAAAAGTGTAATATAAATGAGTCGGATGAATAAGTAAATACTATATTTAGGTAATAAGTTCTGTGACGAAAATCACGTTGATAATTATCATTAATCCTATTGTTTTGAAATATTGACCTTCGCGTGACTTCAAATAGTTTACTAGAAACTTCTGGTTGGAAACATAAATCTACATTAAACACATTTGCATTGTGATAGATCTCGCAAAAAATTCGACTGTGATGGATTTTGAGATTTGAGCACTTATTTTTACAGCTCTTAGTAGTTCCAGTGAATCATTTTAATGTTTTAAGGCATCAAGTTTCTTAAAAATTAATTTGACTTTTTTGACAATTTTGACCCCGCCTCTTGTAATATTTTTACTACTCAATAAATATGAGTCAATTAGCCGCCATTGGCTACCAGTTTGGTCCCCTTTCAAAATTGTCTTTCTTATGCAACAAACATTCTTTAATGCCTTAATCTTAATAATATAATTTAAAGCCGAAACGACGGCACAACTGTATTAAAATATTCTAATTCCCCAATCCTAACTCCTCAATTAGTTTTAAAAAAATATATTAAGCAAATCTTTTCACTGTCTACTTCTTGCCAACGCGGAAGTACTTAAATTTCAATTTTAATTATTTTCTAGAAATATTAGTGATATTGAGTTCTTTACGTATTGAATTTTAGTAATAATTTAAAAATCTATCCGATAACCTATGAATCTTTGAATCCCACAAACCACCGTTTGGGACATTTCCATTTCAGTAAAGTAATAATAACTAAGTAGAAGTATTATCCATTAGTCTAAATAAATATATAGCACTATTAAGCATTTATTTAAATTAGTTCTTAAGTATTTATTTAAATAAGTAACCTAACAAAATGAATCCAAACAAATACTGAACGTATAATAATTATTAACTATCTAAGACTACTTAAGTTATTACTTAAGATAACCTAACAAACTGAATATAAATAAACATTTAGCATGTAACTAACTATTCAACACCGCTTAAACTATTACCTAAGACAGCTTTAAAAATGAATAATAACTGCAGTATTGCCATAGATAAATATCCAAGTTCATAGTGCCATATAATATAAATATGTATATAAATTATAAAAATTTGCAAAAGCTAGATGTAGGTATGAAAAATATCAACTTCAATGTTATGTGATCATTTTGATTATAAGTGTTTTAGCAAGCATCGACCTTTCGCGCAGAACAGCAAAATAAAAGTATTTATTTTCATTGATTTTTCTGACCACCTTACACTATTTATCGACATTCACAAAATAAGAGGATTCTAAGAATTCGCTAAAACGAGATGTAAATATAAGAAATATCAACTTCAATATTATGTGATCATTTTGTCTCTAAGTTTCTTCAACATTACGTGATCAAATTTGTTTCTAAGTTTCTTTACACCTAGTTTTAGCAACTATGTTTGTCGCATGATGGTTTTTTAATTAAAAAATAAGGGAAAAGTTATTTTAAGATTTTGAAACATCGTTGCTTTTAAACGAAATAGACTCGATTGGTAATTTCGACCACCCAACAATATTTATCTCCACTCACAGCATATAAAAAGATTATAAGAATTCACAAACACTAGGCGTAAAGATGCAAACTATCAACTTCAGTTTTACGCTTTCTTTCCTAAGTGCTTAACAAGCAACTATCTATCTCCTTCCATAGCTTTTAATTGAAAAGAAAAAACTACAAAGCTACAGAGTTGCAAGTTCAATTTATTCGGAGGAACACTGCCAACGGCGTGAAAACAAGGTGCTATTCGCTTAAAATAAAAATAAAANGGGTTGGGTTTTTTCTAAAATACCCGGGTTTTTTCAAACCCTGTTTTTTGGCACACTTTAGATTAAAAAGTAATCATAACATACTAAGCCGCAATAAATTTTTTTTTTAATCACACAATACACAATAATGATAAATATTTATTGAAAATCAGTACTTACAAAGGCAGAATAAACATTTGCTCTTTTATTGACTTGTTAAACAAAAAATAATAGAAATTATTTAAGATTTACCTCAATTACATCAACAATATATATATATATATATATATGTTTAAGTAAATGATGATATTTTATCAACATTTCAAATTATTTTTTAATAGCATGGAAATGTTACACTTTTTTAAATCAGGCTTTAAACTTATCATTCCTAAATTTAAGTGTTGCTTTATTTCATTCTATTTTATTAATGACGACAACGAGTTTATGATGTAATAGTTTGATGCAGCTCTTAATGTGCAAGTCTTACAATATTTGATACCGCAAACCAAAAGACAAATGGGATTTAGAGTCAAATATCAATTTTGTGGAAGACTTTTGAGTTTAACTAAACAAGCGTTTGCGTTATACGGAGAAGAAAACTTCCGACCATTAACCAGATGGCAACAATGGGACTCTAAGCCTTGACCCATTTTCAACTGGGAATATTTTGAGTAAGCACGAGGATCTGTGAAAGAAGCAGTTTATATAACTATACTAATTGATGTCTCGTTAATTATATTCAATTGTATCACTATAAAAAGAATGGGAAGCAAATTATAAAATTTTTACATAGTAAATTTAGGAACAAAAAGTTTTCGGAACAAAAAATCTTAAGTTTATGAACAAAACTTTAATAAATTAGTAAAAATACAGAAACTCTTTAAAAACGATACTAATACATGTATATATATCATAAAATGAAAATGTCATAATTTGATATGCAGAGAGCGGTCGCTCAGGAGCTAGCGCGCTTGCCTCCTAATCAGATGACCCATGTTCGAATTCCAGGGTTATCTGGTCGATACGAATTCAGCTTCCGACCCGACAACAATGCTGACGTAAAATATCTTCGGTGGCAGATGAATCATGGGTTAGAATTCTCTTGCCATCGAGCTAACCATGGGAAACTTTCACGGTTTTTGACAACAATTAAAAATTTTAAAATCAATTGACTAAAACGTTTTCTTTGTCAGAATTTATTTATTTTTGCAACTAAATATGAGTTCCATGATGTATTGAACCTCAGTGATTTTCGTCTTTTTATTTTGTTTGTTTATCCCATCTTTCTTTTTACTGTAAGTTTAGTTTTACCTTAGTTATTAAATATTTTCTTTTTAATATTTTTTAATAGAAAATTCTTTTCTTTTAAATATTTTCTTTTTTACTTAAAAACTTTTAATTACCAAGTTTATTATTATCTGAACTAAATTAGTTACAAGTTATCTGAACTAAATTTCATTAAGTTTATTATTAGCATTATAAAAATTTAATACTGAAATTTTGAAAAGGCATATCACTTAAATTAAAAAAACTTTTATTAAAATATTTACTGCATATAATAAGAAAAGTCTCTTAAACAAATATTAATCTTCGTTTAAAAGATTAATATTCGATAAAAGATTAATCGATAAAAGATTAATATTAGTGGTACATGGAGAAAAATTTCCGGTAAAATTATCGTATGGTAAGCTAATGACAATTCTTTTTTTTAAAAAAAATCCTTCTGATAATAAAAACCAAAATGTACGATATTTAAACCATTAATTTGGTAATTTTTTCCGTTCATAAGAAAACGGCTTATTGGAAATTCTGGTTTTCAAAATTATAGTTCTTATTATTACGCATTCAGTAAAAATTAAGAAATTGAAATGTAAATTTAACTGAATAAATGATTTTAATGCCATGCTTTACTTTAATGAAATTACCAAGTTTTACCAAATTTCACACATTATAAAACCATATTTTGTTGGCAATTTTGCGGATGTCATTACCCAAGTGCTTCAGTAAAATTTACCGTGCTTTTTGGAGTTTCCATAGAGCCAAAAACACTGTAAAATTTATCATATTCGAGCAGTTTTGAAATTACATTTCTTCTCAGTTTACCACTAAACTTCAGATCTACTTACTTAAAGAAAATGGAAAAAAAATTGAGACTAAATCAAAATGTCATTTTTTTGAAAATCGTATTGTTTTTCAAAAATTAAGGAAGAATGAAAATAAAAGGAAAGAAGAGTAATTTTTTAATGTCTGAAAAATCTGAAAATGTATCGTTTGAAAATTCTTTTTAACACATTAGTCTTATAAGCAAGATGGTATTAGTTTTAAAATTAAATTTTTAAGTAAATTTTTTTGTTACTAGGCATAATGTATATAACAAAATAAAGTTTCCTTATTTGCAGGTATTTTAAAAATTCAATTTAGCCTGATACAAGATCAGACCCTCAAAAGGCTCGTTAGCTTAAAATGTTTTTAGGTTCACGGTTCTTTAGTGTTCGAAAGAAATTTTCTTCCATATTATTATTATCATTGTTACTTTGATATTCGGAATCTATTTTTTCTATAGCCTCCAAATCTCAAATGATAACAGTGACTTTTAATTTTTGTTTGACACATATTTTCATTAAATAATTTCATAACTTCAAAATTTAATTTCAATAAATCCTTAGGATCTCGTGCCTTGGATCTCCTAAAGTGGACCGAAACTCACTTTTACTGATCATAATTAAGGGGAGATTTCCGCATCATGATCTGTGGCAGAATAATTGCAAAGTCTGGACAATTTCCGGCCAGTGGCCAGCGAGAAACTAAAAAAAAAACATCACAGAAAGGGACCAACTCGAAAAGTAAAACTCGTAGCCACCCCCGGGCAAATATCTACAGGTTTTTTAAAAAAAAATTTGCAGGTTTAAAATCTATTTGGCACCTTGGCGATTATAGTTGGCGCGACAGATCAGGATAGGAAAATATACCCATAATTAATCTCAGACATCTTTTCGCGAATCTCTGATGCGATATGGAAAATCTTTAAAGCATGTCTGTTTCTTATTTTAAATAAAAGTTGTGTCAAATTTATTAGACAACTCCTGCAAAACTATAATCAACCTTACCCCTCAAAAACTATTTTAAAGACACACAATTGATAAAATGTCGAAGTTGAAGTGTAGTTTGAGGCAATTTTTTGCATGTGTTAAATTTTTGAGTCTTATCCCTTAAAAGTCTTTTCTTATCAATATATGACAACAATGATACATAAATATACGCCTTAAAACTATTTTACAATATATTGTTTATTTAATAATTACCCTTTATCACTTTTTACATTAATTAGAAAATAAATGAAATAAAGAAATTCCTTAAAAGTTTTAGGAAGGAAATAATCGTCTTCGCATGAATGTGTAATTTACGAGCACATTGAACTNCCAACTCGAAAAGTATAACTCGTAGCCACCCCCGGGCAAATATCTTCAGGTTTTTTTTAAAAAAATTTGCAGGTTTAAAATCTATTTGGCACCTTGGAGATTATAATTGGCGCGACAGATCAGGATAGGGAAATATACCCATAATTAATCTCAGACATCTTTTCGCGAGTCTCTGATGCGATATGGAAAATCTGTAAAGCATGTCTGCTTCTTATTTTAAATAAAAGTTGTGTCAAATTTATTAGACAACTCTTGCAAAATTATAATCGACCTTACCCCTCAAAAACTATTTTAAAGACACATAATTGATAAAATGTCGAAGTTGAAATGTAGTTTGAGGCAATTTTTTGCATGTGATTAATTTTTTAGTCTTATCCCTTAAAAGTCTTTTCTTATCAATATATGACAACAATGATAGATAAATATACGCCTTAAAACTATTTTACAATATATTGTTAATTTAATAATTACCCTTTATCACTTTTTACATTAATTTAAAAATAAATGAAATAAAGAAATTCCTTAAAAGTTTTAGGAAGGAAATAATCGTCTTCGCATGAATGTGTAATTTACGAGCACATTGAACTTTGAATTTTCAGTATAAACTTTAAAACATTTCAAATAGACGTATTTAAATTTGTCTTACGTGTATCCATACAATGCCTCAAATCAAGAACATCCGCCAAATGATCCACGTACTCCATCTTTTCTTTTACAGTCATAGACGATGGTAATCGCAGTAATGCACAGAACTGAAAATAGTGTATCGTATATAAAATGCAAGTAAATTGAAGAAAATAAAAGTCATTTCAATGTAGAGCTCACAAAAGCGTCACTTTCCTATAATACAATGGTTACATTCTAGACTTTTTTAAAAGTTAATGATTTTTTTTAAGATTTCTTAGAAAACCATAATGAAACGAACATTTTAAAACATTAAGAAAAAAACATTTAAGCTATCTCAAAACTACTAATATTGAAAATTATTTATTAAAATGTGATATAATATAATAGTTTAATGTCTTTCTAAGCACTGTAAAATTGACTAAAAAATAGGCTTTTAAATAAAATTTCATTTGATAAAATAAACATCAATTCCAAGAAAAAAGTAGTTTCAGAATATCAATGTAAAAGTTATCATTATGGGTAAAAGTTATCATTATGGGCAAAAAATAATCAGAATGAAATTTACATTTTTACATTCATTAAAATAATATAAATTGTTGTCGTAATGGCTAGGAGAAACACTGAAATGGTGCTTTCAAATTTAATGACTATGTGACATTTTAAATGCAAACATAATTTTTTTTGTCTTATCAATTATTAAATAAAATATAGAAGCTGTGCAAATATTCAACATTTATTTAATAATTATCTAAATGCCGAATGCAATTATTTTATATTAATATTTATTTATTCTATTATTTCATTCAATTTTAATGAATTTCAATAAAAATAAGTATGTTTTTGTGACAGTTATTTTTGGACACTCAGTCAGGTGTATTAATTGTTGTATAATACATTATTGATATAAATTTTTTACACTAACTGCAACTAACCAGTATATGTCTTAAAATTTGTATTAAATAAAATAAGTGTTTTAATACAACTTTTTTTAATTTCGTTTTTATTAGGTTAAATGCTATCACCTCATAACCAAAACAATCTTAACTATTATTACACCACATCATTCGTGCTTTTTAGCTAATATTTTCCATCATGACAATAAAAAAACTAAAGTGTTTGATGTTTAAAAAAATACTCAAAGCTTTCTTTAAAGCAATAAACGTCCAATCAATAAGATAAGTTCAATGTTCGATAAGGCTTATATTATCAATAACTCAACTATCTTTAAAAAAAAACTTAATGGAATCGCAAAGACTTTAAAATATGTAAAACAAAAATATAAAAATAAAAAGGATTTCGAAGAAAACAAGTATAAGAGGTTATAGCCAAATCACGAATTTATGCAAACCAGCATTTCCGGTGACACCTGTCCTTATTTTGTTTAATCACGTCAAGTATTTTTAAAAATAAGCATTTTTATTCATGCGACCTGATTTATTTTGTTAAAGCGGTTTAAAAAATAATTTTAAAGTAATTTAAATTCATTTTTACAATTCTTTTATTGAATTAGACTAACAAGCGTTTTTAAATGCCTGATAAAGTTTTTTCATCATCTCCTTATAATTAGCTCAATTCACAATAATTTCCCGATATATAAAAAAATTGCAAACGATTCCACTAACACCACTGTTTTTGTCTTGGACCACTTTTTATTACGATATGAATAAAAAAATAACCTTCTATGATGTGTTTGAGAATTATTAAGTATTAAACTTGTTGTAAAAAATATCACGCAGATACAGAAATGGAACTATAAAGATCAGCATTTGGCGTGCTGAAGGGGTCGCTTTAATCACGGAGAAGAAAATTCTGGAAAAATTACCGTATTATATGGTAATATTTCTGGTACTAACCAGGTATTAAAAACCAAAATATATGGTATTTAAACCCCTCATATAGTAATTTTTTCGTACATATGGTAATGGTTTACTTAATATTATAAGTTTCAAAATTGTAGTTTGTACCACCACACATTCAGTAAAAAATACAGAACGGAAAAGTGAATTTAACCGAAGAAATGTCTTTTATACCATACGCTAATTCAATACTCTCAAAATTATAAATTTTTTCCAAATTTACCAAACTTTTTCACACATTATAAAGCCATATTTTAGTGCTAATTTTTCCAAAATCATTACCAAAGCACTTAGATTATAATTACCATACTTTTTGGTATTCCCATGGAGCCAGAAACACTGTAAATTTCACCATATTCTGGTAATTTTGACCAAATTCTTTTCTTCATTCAGTGACTTACAACCATAATATTAGTGTATACAACCATAATATAGTGAAGTTATGGTAATTAAGTGCTTTTTTTCGTTAACATTTGTAAGTACATTTTCAACTAATTATTAATTGTTGTAGGAAAAATTACATATATCTCTTTCAAAATCTTTATTCTATCAACCAGCTCGTGCTTGAGTTAATGTTGAAAATAACAGCAACAAACAGACAAAGATAGATAAGATATTGTCAGATATGAATTTTCAACATTCATATTGAAATTTTTAAATATGTAAAAAACTAAATTCAAGAAAGATAAAAATCATTTCCAATTTTAAATGTTATAATGATATAAAATTATTGTTATTTTTTGTCAACTAGTTGTGTTTTCTATGAAGAAAAAAAATTCTGAAGGAGAAACAATCATTGGCGATTGTAAGAAGAGTGAGAAAGTGAGAGTAGTTTTATGAATTGTTTTTATCTCCAGGAGTTTTAGGAATCTTTTCATGTTTCCTAATTACAACAAATTCAGGGAACATAAGTGTTCAAATTCAGGGAACATTCAGGAAACTTTTTATATAAAAAAATTGAATGCTTAAATTTTTAATATGCATGTTAATTAAAAGTTATTCGATTACTAATTTTGATCGAATTTTGACATTCAGATTAGTGTTTTTAACTGCTATATATATCTTTGAGTGACTTAAATCAAAATTATAATAAATTTTCATTATTTATTATTAGTATTTTTGAATGTTAAATATTCAAAATGTCTAAGTAAATCAAAAATGTGTAAGAAAATATGTAAATAATCACAGTATCAATATTTGGTTTCTTTACAGAATTATCAGAAGTTTAATGTAGATTTTTTTATAAGCTAATGTAAAAACTGAAAAGTTTTCGAGCGATTAAAACTGTTCAAGCTTAGTTATCTTCCAATTTTATAACATAGAAAAACTCAGTACTCATATTCCTTACATTACTACCCTGTAAAAAATTAATACTCAAACTTCACGAAACTTTCTTTACGAAATTTTTGAGCTTAACGTGTCTAACTTTTCCATTGATCACTTTATCTTTGGCTACATATAGCTTGGATCAATGTCACCTTACAACTCACGAAGGACAAATTTATCAGAGAGATAACTATATTAGACTATATACACCAATCATTACTCCTCATGCACCGGGATTCGAACCCGGAATCTTCCTAGTGCAAGACCAACTCCTTGACCACCATACAAACGCTCGAATTACTTTGAAACTGTCATCTTAGTTTTCATTCTAGTTAAGTATAGTTGAGTGTCTCCCACAATGCACTACGATGAGGTTCCGATTTGAGGAAACATTTTCGTCATACATTCGAGAGTTCACATTTCGTCACAAATCGCGTGATTTCGTGACGAAATGATTTTCATAATTAACGAAATATGAAATTTTTTATCATTTGATGACTGTTGATTAGTCAAAAGTTAGAGTTTAATTTCTGCGGGTATAAATCTTCCGTAAACACTAGCTTTAATAAATATTTTTGGAATTCTTGTCAGCAAAATTCTAAAAGTTTATGCGTTAGGAGTCGAGAGGTAATGCTTTAACGATTATGATATAAAAACGATATCGAAATCTAACAAACAAATAAAACAGGCTAAAAACGACAAAACCTGTTTGATTGCTAGAAGTAACCAAGAGGAGATAAAAGGTAATAATTGGAAATGTCCCCAAATTTCATCAGGCAATCAAGGATGTTTTGAACTTTTTTATTTCGTTTTCCTCACTAAAATTTCTTTCTGATAGCTCGTTTGTTTTATTTTCACAGTTATAATAATTTAAAACCCCAAATGTGTATACTTTTTTACTTTAGTTTTGACTAATATATATTGTGGGTGGTAATTTGGGAAAATCTGTGTTTAGTTTTGTACGAACTACAATATATATTTTTTAAATAGTATGGAACCCAAAACGTGCTCTGATTAGCCATATTTCATTAAGAAAATAATAGTTTACAATAAAAAGAGCAACATATTTTGAGAAAACGATTCTTTATAAAATCGTTTGATTCCCCGTAGAAGTCTCTTCTTAATTTCCTGGTAATAAAACTAAACTTCTCAACTGAGCTACATTTTAAAATAATCTAAAAAATAGAAAATAATATTAAAATTGAGGAATTAAGAACTAGGTCAAACATTTGTCGAAGAATTTAAACAAAATTTTATTTCCTTTAAATCAATTTTAAAGTATTACAAGGACAAAATTCTTAAAACAGCTGACGCGTTTTAAACAAAAGGACCGAAAATTTATTTAGGAAAAATGAAACTGAATTAAATTTTTTTGTCATTTCAAATAAACAACTACAATAAAAAAAAGGCTTAGAGTGGATAGTTACGTTAATTGTTATGTTTTATTGCTTTAAAAATGAGCCATATGCAATTCTATTAATTGTTTAACCCTTTCTGAAAAATGCGTTTCCTCTTTCGAGTTTGCAAACTAAAGATTGACCCAATTTTCTGCTGGGCCATTATAACAGCACCGGAAATTAAGAATGATAGAGCATTCATTGTTTGTCAAGTGACTTGTGGCGGAATATATTGAGATTTATTAACTACTATAAGAGATATTGAAAAATTAATGAGCTATTGTTTTGATAGCAATGTTTTCAATGAAACTTATGACTCCTAAAGATGCGTTTTGATTTAAATAACTCATTGTCTATCGGAAACGTTTGGAGGAAAACAAATATGAAATATTTGAGATTTATAGAAGAAGAGCATAATGACATTTCTGTTTTAGAAAAAAATGATTTCCGTAATTTAATAATAAATGTGAGTAAATAATAAAACTTTAGAGAATTGAATGATTTAAAAAAGTATTGAAATTTTTTTTAATGTGATTTATGTTTAAAATATAATTTTCTTAAGTTATGTATGGTAGATTTTAGGCGGCTATCATCTGTCTAAAAAAAGTTGGTTTCCAAATTTAACAAATAATAGTTTTCATTTTTATTTATAAATTTTAAACAACTGCTTCAACAACTTAGTTTTTAGTCTTTATACTTCACGCTAGTCCACTTGAAGAGAATTTATTTTTTAATTTCACATTCAATATTTAAGTTTGAATATTCAGTAAAATTAGACGGATTAATATAGTTAAAAAATTAAATTGTTACACAAGATCTGTGAATACTCTTATATGTCATATTTGGTAATTCCAGAAAGTAAGAAGTCTAAAATTTGAGTTTCTATGCCTAAGAAAATATAGAGTGTTAAAAATATTATTCGAAATATTAAGTAACAGAAAGAAGAAATCTGCAGGTGGAAAAAAATATAGTCAAAACTCCCAGAATATCGTAAAATTTAATTAACATCGTAAATACCAAACCATGTCTCTATGGGGACACCAAAAAGCTCGTAATTTTAACCAAAGCATTTGTTAATGTTTTCGGCAAAATTAAGAATAAAATATGGTACAATTTTTTATATAATTTATGACATGTAACTCAACTTCGCAAATGTGGTAAAAATTGGTCGTTTATTTTCAAAAAAAACGTTAATTCGGTTAAATTTATTTTTCAATCTTATATTTTTTGCTAAATGTGTGGTAATAAGATAAAATTTTGAAAACCATAATTTTAGGTAAACCGTTGCCATATAAACGTAAAAATTCCCAAATGAAAGGGAATTTTTCTGATATGAATGTTCTGTATATGAATGATTTATTTCGGTTTTATTACCAGAATTATGTTTTTTTTACTAGAAATGTCATTACAATTCAGTACGACAATTTTACCAGAATTTTTTTATCTCTGCGCAATGCAGAATAATTAAAAAAAATTTCCGTTCACTTTGAAAACAAGGAACAGCTTTAAAATATTAAACTGTTATTTTTTATTCAATAACTACCGCAAACAAATCATGATGTTACTTAATTTAAAAACTTTATTCATTTCTAAAGCGGTTTTAATCAAGTAATATATTATCGCTTCAGTTTCTTGGGATTATTTATTTAAATCATGATATTAATTTAACTTACCTTTAGCGTTTGCCGAAGTGTGAGATTGGACATAAAAATGTCCTGTTGTAAGACATAGCAGATTCTTCTACGTAGTTCTTTGTTTAATACTTCTCCATTCAGTGTAATAACGCCACTGTCCACTTTAGCACGACCGCTCAATGCGTTAAGAAGTGTTGTTTTGCCAGAACCTATATACATAATTTAAATTAGCACTTTTAAACAATTTTAGTTGGTATAGGCGGCGTTCAAATAATAGGCAAATTTTTTATATTATATAAAATTTCAAATGAAATATCAATAAAGAAAAGTTACCGGAACATATTATGGAACAAAAGATGTAATACACCGTAATTTTTACAATAATAATCGCTATAGTAAAATCAATGAATCTTACTAATTAAATAAATATTACTGTAAATATTACGGTATAAAATTTTACTTTAAAATTGATTTTATGGATGATTTTCCCTTACCGTAATTTGATCAGGAATATTTTAAGTGTAGTGTAATATAAAATTTGACAAATCAATAACGAGAAAAATAAGTTCTCCCCGAGAATTACTACACAGTGACGGTGAGCCGTACTGGGGAAAAAGTCCTTCCTACCTGAGCGTAAAATTATTTATTTCTCCAAGACAGCTTTTATGGACAGAAAACATTCCGCTCCCGAAGTTATCCTTTTAAATTCGTTTATTACAAATTCTCAAAACAGGATAAACTGAAGGGGACCAATTAAATAAATCGACGGCTACTTTAAACATTGAAATTGTTTATCCACTTCAAATATGATAAAAGAAGTTTTATGCTTGTCATTATTATCTTAGAAACATTAAAAAAAAATTTTTTAAACTTTCTGTTGTTTAAACAGTGAATAGAATATGATTAAGAAAAACAGAAAATATATTTACTTACCACTAGGTCCCATGACAGCAAGCAATTCTCCTGGTCTTGCAAGGCCAGAGACATCGTGTAAAATATTCTTCTGTTTACAAGACATTTTGACACCCTTAAAGACCAGCTCCAAGGGTAGTAATCCATCTTCAGGCACACCCTGGCTCAGGGAGCTTCCACCTAACCTGAATCAAGGAAAAAAACGATTTGTAAAGAAAGCCATAAATAATTTATTCACGAAACAAATATTATAAATTGATAACACCTTATGAAGTTAATAAGACTGAATAAACCACAACTTTTATTTACATAAACTAGACAAGTATTTTGAAATTCAGGAAAACGAATAGTTTTCTCCAGCTACTATAAAAATGTTACATAAGTGTCGTAAATACATAGTGTCCAGAAATTTTCAATAAAATCTTATCAATTATTAACCTCCATAATAAATTAATAAGATTAATTAAATCACTATTTTTATTTATAAAATCTAGGCAAGAAATTTGAAATTCAGAAACTCTCTTAATTCTTTCCGTCTACTCCAGAAATGTTTCAGAAATTTATAAATGCGTAGAGTAATGAAATGATCAGTAATGATGCTCAAATGAATGTATTAAATGAATTAAAAAAATGTTAAATGTAAATAAGAAATGGATAAAAAATAATATGTTTGAGCTATAGAGAATATATCAAACAGATCAATAATAATTAACAATAACTATAAACAGATAAAATAAACAATAATACATCTAATAAACTTTAGGGAAAGTATTGTTGGTATTCATTTTCATTTCTGATTTAAAATAAAAACTGAAAAATTTTTTTGTTTTATGAGAAAGTAATTATTTTTAAATGCTTTATAAATTATGCTTTATGAATTCTTTTAAAATGCTTTATTAATTAGTTTTGTACTGTAAAATTTCTCCAACACGATCGAACTTGAATACATGCAATAAAGTTATAGCGATGCTAAAACCAAAGCAATGAAATGGTTTTTAAAATGCACATTTTAAATATCTTAAAGTAGGCTTTGATGCCCATAACTAATAATTAAAAATTGAACGAAAGTTAGCAAAAAGGGTTAAGGAAGGAAATTACATAATATTTTAGTTAGTATTTAAAATAAATTTCTTGGGAATATTGTGTCAAATGAGCCAACTATAATATAAATTAAAACCAACGTGTATGATAGTATTTTTTCCCTTTAAAATCTTGATCAAAAAAACTTTTTTTGAACTATCCAAATGTTTAAAGACAGTTTTGTTTATGAATCTTTGTTCAATGATGAAAAGTTTGATGGAATAACAATAATAATATCATATATA